ACAAGCCGAGGGAAAAACATTCAAGATAACCAAGGGACTCTGTTAAAGCTCAGCCCCAGCAAAAACAAAGGCAGCTGCCACCAACTGCTGGAGGCGGACACAGGGCGAGGAGAGAAGGAAGAGGAAAACTAGGAACTACAGCACAGGGTCTCTGGTGCAACCAGAATACAAGCACAAGCTCAACAAGACTACTACGTCAATTTAAATTTACTGAAGTTAGTAACTGCTTTGTTATGAATGACTGTAAGGTTATCTGCTATTCTTAGCAGTACAGACAAACACTACGTATACACACACACAGGGAACGGCAAATGGTAAGGCAAGCAGGGTGACTCGAATGTCAATAGGAGGGTAGACAAAGAGAGCCAAGTTCCTGGAAACTGGGACCCTCCGTCAGATGTCCTAGAGTAGCCCGACTGTCCCTGTACAGCCCAACCTGGCAGAGGGTTCCAGCTCATCAGTGCTACCTCAGAGGGTACAAAAGACCGACTCAGCAGTAATATTTTTAGACTGATTGTTAACTTTCTCTACTTTCCCCCTTCCATGCCAGCTCCTGTGGGTTTTACAGCTGAGTCACTGTTCGCATTTTCTGAAGCCTTCTCCAAAGTACAAAGGCACCCGGAGCCTGATGGAAGCACCAGCAATGGTAGCAGGCCTGGCACTGGGTGCCTGCATTGCAAGACAGTGTCTGAGTTCAAGCTCGGCTGTGGGCGAGGCCAGGCCAGGCCCATCATGGTCAGAGGCTTATTACCTAATGAGAGTGGTGACAGCAAAATCCCAGAGCAGCAGCCATTCTACCCATTCTACCTAGCCAGAGATGTAAGGCCACATGTCTGGGCCCATCTCCACTTTCTGCAGGCTCGGTTCTAGGTGTTCGCTCAGTCTGTCTGAAGACAGAGAGGCAGGAAGGGGTGAAGGGCAGCACTCACCCAAGTATGTAAACAGACCCCGAATCTGCAGCTCCACGTCACATAACTCAGAGTGTGGACTCCCTCTGCCAATTCTGGATCCCACAGGCCCACGAAGGTACCAAATACAACCAACTTCTTTCCAGAGTCGCTCCCAACCTCAGTCATCGGGCAAGTCCTAGCACTTGCACGGCAGACATGCCCACGTCCCATGGCAAGTCAGCACACACTCAACCGAATCAACTTCCCTCACCTGGGAGCAGCCACTGCACACTGCGTCCCATGTTCTCCCTTCCTCTGCACGGCAGAAGCTGTCCCCGAGTGGACGGACTCCACGCTCCAGCGTACATGCAAACTTCAAGTGTGCCACGATGCCCTAGAAGTCACGAGGGCCCTGACACACTGACTTCTGAAGAATCTGTCCACCCAGCTGATCCCGAGGAACGGGAGAGGCCTTGTCTGAACTCGGCAGTCCAAAAACATCCCGGGTTAACGTGGTGCTCGGCATGTTCCTTCAGCAGCCCTAGGCAGGCACCAAGCTACACGCCTGGAATACAGCAGTGGAGAACTGGGAGCTGAAGCGGATTTGCAAAAAACCTTGGTTGGACCCAGAAAGCCCATGTTCAACACACCAGACTCAAGCCTGTGTTGAATGTTGTCTGAAAGAGGCTGGAAGTACAGAAGCAGCAGTAGGTCCCCCGACTGGTTAGCAGAAACCAGAGCGGGCAAACAGCTTGATCCCCACGGGACTTCTAAAAGAGTGGGAGGAAACAGGACATATCCTCTGGCAACCTCAGACCCAACACATGGTCTGCCTACCAAGACTGTGTACAAGGTGTTCATTAGTCCTTTCCATGCCCCCCCCCCCCCCAAAGTCACTCTGCTCTCTTGCTGAGTAATGCAGCACACGGAAGTCACAAGGGGGAGGGCAGGAAGATAAACCCAGCGGGTGGTCCAGCTGACGTGCAGAGCAAGTCAGAGACACCCCCTGCCTTTACTGAGCCTAGCACCTGACTTGTACATAAAGAACCGCTTAGATTAGTCTTCTTGTCAACATGCTAGTATTCTGCTCCTAGGGACACAGGTGTGACAGGAGGAGTGTTCTGGGAGCTCGGTCCGTCAGCGGCTGTGACACTTCTGGCACTTGGCAACATGGGAGCTTACTTCCTCAGCTGTGTATGCTCTAGAATCACGTGACGCACTCAGCACAGAAAGCAGTCAGCAAATGGTGGCTACCCCAGGACACTGAGGACAGCTCCCACAGCCCTGACATTCCACTGCAGGACTCAGGACACTGCACACACAGGCTGAGGGCAGCCCTGACCACATGCCACTGAGACCTCGGAGAAAAACACTTCTTTCATCTGGCCCTGGAGGGCTTTCCCCCCTAGCAAGTGGGGGTGGGGGGCTCAGAGTATACCATCTGCAAGGCAAGGGGCCCACAGAGTGGCGCATCCTAAACAGATGTTGGTCTTCGAAAGCATAACTCTCACACAACCGAGGTCCTCCTGCAGGCCTCTGAGTGTAGAAATGCACATGGCATAGGCACTCCGGCCCCTGGAGGAGGAAGGGTCACACAGCAGCCTCACGCTGAGACCCAACAAAAGCTGCAATGCTCAGTCCTCAGTGCAGAGAACAGAAGCCCCCAGCACAGCAGTTATGTGCTGCATACGTCTTCTACTTCCCCTGAGGGTAGGGGGAGCCTTAAGGGAAACAATCCCACCCTATTCATTGATGCTCCTCCAGTGCCTAACGCAGTGCTGGGCACACAGCCAGCGCTCAATGTCTGCTGAATGAATTTAGCCAAGATTTTTATTCAGGAGCTCGGCTATCTGCAACTGTGCCCTCACTCTGCCGAGCTCCTCAGGGCATAGAAGATGGGCAGATGTGCAGCCACAGCTGCCTGGGATGATGCATCACCAAGCAGCACCCAGGACACCAGATCATACCCCGGCCTCCACGCAGACACAAGGCACCTGCTTTCTGCCAGGACCACTCCCGGACTGCCCAAAGTTGTCGAGCTCTCTCCTCCCTCCGGTGGAAAGTGAGCTAGCTGGTCTTCAGATGGGAAGGCAGTGTAGGCACTGGGATGTGGGCTGCATGTTCCCGCAGTGCTGGCAAGGGTGCACGATCTGGCACTGCAGCTGGCTGGTGGGAGGCCTGCATCCTACTTCAGGAGGCGGAAACCTCATGTGGGCTTTCCAAGAAGGCTCACAGCTCGGGAAAAGAAGAGATGCGGCCATCCCACAGCTCCAAAAGCCACAGACGGCAAGGTGATTAGGGATGGGTGTGTCCTTGTTCCTCAGAGAGGAAGAGGCACCCAGCCTAACCCTCCCCCAGCCAGAATGCACTGCTGGGGAAACTCTGGCCCTTACACTTTGAGGCTCAGACCGCAGTCCCTCCCCAATCCACAAAATCATGTAATATTTATCACTAAAGTGCTTGAGAAGGAAGGTGGAGAAGAAAAATGATCCCCATTTTGGAGACAAACAGCAATAAGCATAGGCCTTTCGCGCAGTAGGGGAGCTGGGAAATTATAACTGGGTCCAGGGTATTTCTTGGAGCCTAATTTCACAGTAACTTTCAGACCAGGCTCCTTAAAGTCTCAAGTCGGGTATCTCTATGGCCCTAATGCTGCATTTCCGAAGAACTCTTGCAGATAAGGAAATTCAGAGCCAAAGAAGGGCCACACCCCAATCCGATGCCAGTGAGACACAGCCTTGGTCAGACACTGAGCCCCACGGCCAGGTGCCCTCTTCTCTGCGAGCTCTCGTGTCCTCTGCTCGGACACAGAGTGAGGACAGGACAAGAGAGGTTTCAAAGCACACACAAAGGAAGGCACGGTGGCCTCTGAGCCAAGAATACCAAACGGTGACACCACAATTCTTGCCCAGGGGAACAGGGAAGCTACCAATCTTTCCGGAAAAACCTGAGTCAGCTGAAGGCCAGCACTACAAGGACCCTTTCTTTGCCGAGAGGTGGTTACTTAAGACAAAGCTCCTGCCCATCCACGTCCAAATACAACCCCTCCTCCCCCAAGAGGGATTTTACCAAAACAACTGGGCACGAAAATGCCTAACAGACACAACAGTCTCTGTTGCTGCACAGCATTCTAAAAAAAGACCTGCGCCAAGCAGGGTGGAGGCCAGAGACATCAACAAGGCAGTACCTTGCTGTTAGGGCTGCTGGCTCTGAGGCAGAAGGGTGGGAGCCCGGCGACCCCCACACCCCACCCTACCTTCCTACCTTCCTCGAGCGTCTGCTGCCACTTCTGTATTATGGTAAAACACAGAGCAAAATGCGTAGATTTTTAAGCATACTGGTAGTGCTGAAGTCCACGTTTCATCTCCCCTTGTAGCACAGAGGGAAGTGAACGGGTGGGGGGAAGGTCTGAGCAGAGGCCGTTCGAGGGGCTGCCAGCAAGCCCCTTCAGCCCATCCCTCCCACATCCTACCACAAGGGCCAGGGATCCTAATGGGGAGTGGCTCTCCCTTCCTCCCAGGAAAAAAGATCTGTGGAGCTGCAAGTTCCCCTGCCTACCCCTTTCCAGATCAATGCTCTTATGCTAAGTCAATTCCAACACCCCACAGCAAATCCCAGCCTCACCCTAGGTTAACGCTCTCCTCCTGCCCTGGTTCAGGGACCACCTGCACTTTATGTATAGCTTGTTTCTAAAAGCCACTGAGAAACAGAAATCTGATCATCCAGTAGTCAGCCCCGTAAGTCCCCTCCCCCCGCCTAAAAGTGTTTTGCTTCATCATCTCCAAGACAGGGTTAGCTGGATCTTTCCTGCACAAGGCTGTCACTCCAGGGACCCTTTCAGGGCCACCCCAGGTGCAGATGAACAACTCCAGGGAGTTTACCAGGCTGAGTGGAAAAGCCATGCCTGCCTTTTTACGAGCAGCCATCTGTCCTGCCACACTCACAGCCAGCATCTCCATCTCTTGCAAAATAGCTCCATGTTGTGTTGTGTGTGTGTGTGTGTGTGTCCAGGGGTGGGGGGTTACCAAGCGGACAGAGCTGCGGCAGTGGGCGTCTTCCCTTACCACCCCACACGCCCCTCCCCCAGCTGTCTCATTCCCAGGCACTTACCCGAGTGTGTGCTGCTCTGGGCTGAGGAATCGGAGTCCTGGGTGCTCCAGGGTCGGTCCCAGCCTGTCAGACTGAGGGACTGCAGGCCAAGGCACAAGTCATTTGCATCTGGGAGGCCACGAGAAGATTCTTGCGCAGAGGTGGGGAAAAGCATCCTGCTTGCAACTGTTTCTTCAGAGTCCTGGAAGTCTGCTTTGGACAGGGGGACAGCGGAAATCCCAGTTAAGGGCTGTTTTCCCCTACAGCATCAACAATAAATATTAACCACAGTTTCCCAGGCTCAGGGGCCAGACATCCAAGCCGGCTGGGTGCTGCAGCCGCCACCTCTGCACTTTTGGGGGCGTCAGAGCGAGCGCAGCAGCCATACAGCCCCCTCCCCACACACACCCCTATCCCGGCTGCATACAGACGGGGCCAGCATGTGATCAGGCTGCTGATGCTTCCCGCTGCCAGTGACATCAGCCGGCTGAGCCGTGCAATAGAGAGCGGCCTCATCCCTCACAGAACGGGGGAGGAGCGGGAGGGGACGACAGGGAGGAGACTTGCCTCCCAGGGAGAAGACAGCACAGAGCTACTTGGAATGGTCCGGGCGCAGTGCTGTAAGTCAGGGCCGCGAGGCAGCGCCCTCCGGTCTCCGGCAATGGTGGCTGAGCGGGCCCTCGGGCGCGACTGAAGTCCTCTCTGCTGACAGCAGAGCCAGAGCAGAGCCGCTGACTGCCTGCTTGTGTGGCTCTGCCCTCCTGCCCCTCCCTCTCCCTCCCTCTGCTCTCCACCCCCAAACCCAAAAACACTCTAGTTCTGGACTCTCTCCAGCTGCTGGCTCAAGCCCTGGCTTTGCAGCCCGATGCAAAGCTTCACAATCCTGCTGGCAAAAATCTATGTGCTCCAAGTGGCCCCTGGCAGCACCCTGACACAGCAGTGTTTACCACTGAGGAAGGGGAGAACCTTCAGCGAGAACCTGCACACTTGGGCCCTGGGGAGCAGCACTGGTACTCCAGCTTGTCTGGTCCAGCTCTGGCAGAGGGAGGGGCAGCAGGTTGCTCCAGATGCATCTCCAGGACAGGGACACAACTCACTTGCCAGAGAAGGCCCTGCCCAGACTAGGATGGGCTCTGCCCCAGGGTCCCCCACTCTGGCCAGGGGCTACTGGCTCTGAGCACATTATCAGTCCAGCTCCCCTCGCTCCTGCAGCTGCAGCCGCAGCCTGGGGAAGCACTTCCGCAGCAGTGTCTGGTGGCTCCGAACACGAGAAGCTGTCTCCCAAGTGCTGCTATGCCAGAGAGAGAGAGAACGTGCTAGGAGCTTGCACCACCCGCTGTGTCGACACTGTTTTCTCCTGCCCTTCCAGGAGACCGCAGGGTGACACTGGCCAGCGGGGAGGGCCGTGGACGCCTTCACTGCCTGGGCCTGAGAAGTGCTGCCCAGAACCAGGGCCCTGTTTCTGCAACCACTCACAGCCCTAGCAACAAAGCCACAGAAAGCCCAACTTCTGAGGTCTCCTCCATTTTCTCTTTGCCAGCATCTCGTCCTAGAGCACCCAGCCTCTTGCAGGATACCCTGTGTGCATCTGGGCGTATGGCTGGAGGTGGGGGAGATGGCCAGTCTGGGGGAGGGACTCCTACCCAGCTGCTGTGTCATCCATCCACGTTCCAGTCTGGCTGTAGATGCTCTGCCTGCTCCCTGCCCGTGTGTGCCACAGCCTTGTTCACTACCGCATAGGCTGCACAAGACACCATCCCTGCTGGCACTGCCCCCAGCCCCAACCACTCCCTCCGGCTTCTCCAGGTCTACCCTTCTCACAGCTACAGGCGAACTTCAAAATTAAGTCCCAGGCATTCCTTACACAAAAGCATAATGCTCCCTTTTTAAAAATCCATATTCATATGTAAGTCCCCCCCCATGCATGTCCCCCAGGTTTGTGCAGTCACTGCTGCCCCAATCTGACAGCATCTGTGTCCAGAACCAGCAATTCTCTACCCAGCATTGCAACCAGAGCAGCTGCACAAACGGCCACCCTGGCCCCAAGCAGATGCTCATCAACCACACTCCTGCCACTCATGGTGTGGCAAACCAGCAACATCAGCATCACCAGGAGCCCAAATTATACTCAGTGAACCAGGGCCAGTGTTGTGGCGTAATAGGTTATCCCTCCACCTGTGGCGCTGGCATCCCATAAGGGTGCAGTTCAAGACATGATGGCTCCACTTCCTGTCCAGCTTCACACTAATATGCCCAGGAAAGCAGCGGAAGATAGCCCAAGTGCCTGGGTTCCTGGGTCCCCCACGTGGGAGATCTGGAAGAAGCTCCTGGCCACTGCTGCCATTTGGGTAGTAATCCAGCAGATAGAGAGGAAGGGACACAGACCTTCTAACTTCAATTAAACGAACAATAAATCTTAAAAAAAAAAAAAATGGCGAAGCCTAGGCCTCATCTGGGATCTGTTGGACTGACCTGCATTTTCCCAGGCTTCCTAGTTAGTATGTGTAGATGCACACACTGCCCAAGCAGTACTGATTTTACATGAACACCAACGCCCTCCCCACCCAGGCTGAGGGACCTCAGGCCGGAGCAACTGGTCTGCAGCATGGGGCCCTCATACAGCCCAGTTACCCCACCATGGGCCTCGCCTTTAGCCTTAGACTTTAGCTAGACATTCTTCCAATTCTTGTCTTCACTACCACCATAGGATTCCCTCACTAGATCCAAAACCTACACAGGCCACCCACTAAACCCTCAGCATGGCAGCCTGGTGGACACTGCTCTGCTCACCCACTGCGTGACCTCAGTCAAGTTACTCCGCCTTTCTGTGCAGCTTCTCATCTGTGAAGTGGCAAGAGCAGCTTCACACAACACCTGTGAGGACTAAGCACGCATGTAGCACAGTGTCTGGCATCCAGACCAGGACACTTTGAGAGAAAGAGACAGCCAATATTAATAGCACACCAGGACTGCAAGCTTACACAGAAGCTGTCTTAGCAGCCACCATGTTCAGAACATTCTACTCACAAAAGCTCCTTTCTGACAGCCTCTTGAATCCACCCCTCTGAACTCACCTGTGCTCTCGATCCTCCTTGCTCTGCTTCCAAACGAAGTTTGAGAAGCAAACTGTTCACACAGGGCACATGCAGTGAGCAGACAGCTATGACCAGTGAAGGCTGACTGAGTAAGCAGAAGCCCACTTGTGTTTCTCACACTCACTTCCTGTAATAAAAAGGTACTCGGTCCTTTTTAATCAAAGGATGTTCTGTATAATCCTCTGCCAGGAAGCCACTAGGTCCACAAAAGGAACCAGCTCTGGTAGCCAGCCCAAGCTGAAATGAAAAATCCCACTCTCAGGCAGTCTATCTGAATGTCTCAAATGCTTTCTCCCGAAAGTTTCTTTCAGCAATACTTACAAAGTTTCCCACTGAAGTTTCTTAATTCAGATAAAATCTTTAGACTTGTTTTTCTTTCAAAATGTCAGTAATCTTTTCTATAGTTAAAAAAAAAATCCCAATTTCTTAACAACTCAGAGAAATAATTAACTCCATGTTCAAAGTCTGCTGCAGTCTTGGCCATGGTTTGGATGTGTCTCCTAGAAGTTCATGCATTAGAAACATCCCCACGGACAGCAGGTTAGGCCGCCACCTGTGAAGCCAGCATCCCATCCCAGAGCCCTTCACATCGCTGCTGCTCTGCTTCCAATCCAGCTTCCTGCTTACGTGCCTGTGAAAGCAGACCCTGCCACCCATATAGGAGATCAGATGGAGTTCTGGGCTCCTGGCTGTGGCCTGGCCCCGCCTGGGCTGTTGTGGACATTTGGAGGAGTGAACCAGTGGATGGAGGATCTCTGACTCATCCTTTAACTGTGCCTTTCAAATGAGAAAAAGAGACAGAGACAGAGAGGAGAGACAGAGACAGAGGAGAGAGGGGACAGAGAGAGAGAGAGAGAGACAGAGACACAGAGAAAGACAGACAATCTCCAAACTCCTAGGTACCTGGAGCAGAAGCCTCTGGAGGTCATTACAGTTAGGTGACGTCGTCAGGGTGGGGGCTCTCTAACAGCACTAGCAGCTTTGCAAGAGCAAGGCAGACCAGACTCTGTCTCGCCCTACACTATGTTATGAGGCAGCACAGGAGATATCACTAGATGCCAGCACCGTGCTCTTGGACTTCTAAGTCTCCAGAACCTTGAGCCAAATAAACCTCTATTCTTTGCAGAGACCAGGCCTCAGACACTTTGTTACAGAGAGGGACTAAGATCTAAACTAGAGCAATTCCCTGATTTAAATACAGATGGACTCTGGCTCCAGGACTCAGACTGCTATAGCCTCAACTCTGATCTTTTCTAACTGCTGCACAAGAACCTGTCTAATCCTGGGACGACTCCTGCGCCACCCAAACTTATCACAGAATTGCAGGGTCCTTGGCAGATGATCCATCCCTGAGCACCTGGCAAAGGAAATAAGACTGGGCCAGCACCTGTAGGCCCTCAGCTGTGAAACCACCAAGGCAAGAAGTTAAAGGCTCCACTGCATAAGGGGGCCTCAAAAAGTTTGTAACAAATAGAATTCAGAGTTTATTTTGGGGGGCCGGCACTGTGGCGCAGCGGGTTAACGCCCTGGCCTGAAGCGCTGGCACCCCATATGGCCTCAGTTCTAGTCCCGGCTGCTCCTCTTCCAATCCAGCACTGCTATGGCCTGAGAAAGCAGTAGAAGATGGCTCAAGTCCTTGGGCCCCTGCAACCGCGTGGGAGACCTGGAAGAAGCTCCTGGCTCCAGATCGGCGCAGCTCCGGCCAGAGCAGCCATCTGGGGAGTGAACCATCGGACGGAAGACCTCTCTCTCTCTGCCTCTCCTCTCTGTGTAACTCTGACTTTCAAATAATTAAAAAAAAAATTATTTTGGTATGAAAAAAATTTAATCATGTATACAATCATGCTTCAAAGTTCATGGAAAATGTGTATTACTTAATAAACTATGCACAGAGGCTGGTGCTGTGGCACAACGGTTTAACACCCTGGCCTGAAGCGCCGGCATCCATATGGGTACCGGTTCGAGGCCCAGCTGCTCCACTTCCGATCCCGCTCTCTGCTATGGCCTGGGAAAGCAGTAGAAGATGACCCAAGTCCTTGGGCCCCTGCACCCATGTGGGAGACCCAGAGGAAGCTCCTGGCTCTGGATTGGTGCAGCTCCAGCCATTGTGGCCAA